ACACCCCTGGATTTCCAGCCATCGAAGTTCACCCATGAATTCCAAAGCCGTTCCCTGGGTTGGCAGCAGAGCACTCCACTCAAGCAGAGAGTGTGAGAGGCATTTAAATTTAAGTAATCGAGATAAACAATACTTCCGCACAGTGAGGAAAAATGAAAATGAATGCCAGAACATGCATGATGAACAACAGATCAAAATTCTAATGACATGAAATACCCTTGCACTTGCAAGTTCCCGAGAGACTTATGAAGGAAGAGGGCATGATGCAAATGTTATTTTGGGCAAATACCACTCCATCTACAGAATTCTAACCAAAGGAGCGTGAAAGGATGTGAGCTGCTAAGTATCCTCAGCTGCTAAGGATTGCAGCTAAGGACTAAAAAAAATAGTAATATGTAATAAAAATTAGTACACAACACTGATTTTTATTTTGAACAATATAGTCACAGTGGGGTCCTGTGAAGACATTTCAGTAACGTGAAGTTAAAGAAAAATTATTCACAATTGTTACGGCGTCATGAGAAGGTGTCCAACATGGCAATACTGTTGGTTAAAAACAAGTAATCTTGAAATTACCAATGTGTTTGTTTCCATTAAAGCCAAAAATGTAATATTACATTAAATTCTTGTTTTGGGATAAATAAAATTCAGTTTAAATAAAGTTGAAATTTAATACATGCTGTTTCAAAAGTCTGGATGTTAAAAATTAAAAATTTTAAAATTTTATGTTGATGTTAAAGTGTTGTTTCAATGTTAAAATATTTTAAAATTTTATATTTATATTTAATATTAAAATATTTTAATATTTGAAAAGGTTTAAGGAAATGTTTTTTAAAAAGATCTTATTTATTTTTTGTAGAGAGATGGGAAAGGAGGGAGAAAGAGAGGGGGAGAAACATCAAGGGTTGAGAAAAACACCTCTTGGTTGCCTCCTGCTCGCCCCCAGCCCAGGCCCTGGCCCTGGCCCCGAAACCCAGGCGTGTGTCCTGACCCACAAGCCAGGCGCCCAACCCACGGAGCCCCACCAGCCAGGGCAGAAAATGCTGCTTTAATGTTCCCACTTTTGAGTTTTTCTACTCCACTGGGTAACACTGAAATATTGAGAAATCATCACAAAAGTCAAAAACTGTACAGGGGCCTCTTCCAGGGGGCCCCCTGATGGCCTCACCCCAACTCACTTCCACATCATCCTGCTGTGGCCCAGTGGCACCCCATCCTTTCTGTGCTCCCCTCTCTGAATCTGAGGACATCTCGCATAAGAACTACCCTCAATCTGTAAAAACGACCAAATACGCTCTAATTTCCAGCTTCAAAGCCTTCAGTAAACGGATTCTTTGTGAAAATGGCTTCGCTAGGTGTTTTGTGCGAAAGTAAAACAGAAAACTCCGGGGTAAGTGTAGAAAAGGTGAGGTTCTGTGCTTGGTACCTAAGGCAAATGGCTCCAGCAAGGCCCAGGCAGAGCTCCGTGTTCAGCAGGTAGGGCCACCAGAGGAAGGTGTTCTGCTCACTATTAAACCAGCTCAAAATTGTTCAGTAGGGCCACGATGCGACGGTGTTTCTGTCCTGAGGCCCAACACACTGAAAACGAAGGCCTAAGTCTGCGTTTTCCGAATGCAACCTCCAGAAAAGGCCACCTGCGCGCCCTCTTGCGGACAGCCTGAGAATCGCGCTTTAAGGAAGAAGAGAAGGAAACTTGGCAGTAATTGTGTCCGTGACTCCCCCTGATGGCCATCCTCTGAATTACCAAAATTCTCAATGGCCCAGTCTATTGATATTTCTGGCTAGGGGCGGGAATGATGCTCTGCTCCTTCACTGCCTGCTCTCTTAGCGCCGATGTACTCTGGATTCATAGCTGGGACAACAGGAGAATCATCAATCTTTGGAGACAGTTGAACACTATCCCCCCTCAGTCATGCCTACGTGACAGAAACGACTGCAGAGGTCCTTGGAAAAGAGGGACTATCACTCAAATGCAGAAGACACAACGCACCTGTTTCCACCATCTGATGCTCCAGCAGATCTTCGAACCCTTCGCAACAGAACACAGCCTTGCTGCACGAACCGTATCCTCCCTTGTCAACTGCTCTGTAGCCTGGTCACAGCCTCAAACACCTGGATCAGACGGAAGAAGAAGATCTGGCTTGTCCCTGCGTGGGAATTCTTGTTTGGAAGTATGTCTGAAGGATCCAAAAGTACCTGAAAGAACAGAAATACAGCCACTGGGCCTGGGAAGTTGTCAGAGTTGACACAGACACCGAAATGTGCCTTCCCCTCATGTAAGAATCATCAGAGGAAAGTCGACAAATGAACCAGAAAGTTACATTCGTAACTCTCTCTACTCAATGCATTGTTCACTAAGCCCCAGTGTCGACTCACATTTCTGCACCAGCTGAGAAACACAAGAAACAAAAATCGTGGGGTTATCTTAAAAAATATAGTAAGTCTTGAATTTATAAAATTATGGTGATAGCGAAGAACATGACCACTTTCTTAAATAAATAACTTAATGACATAATTTTAACTTTTTATGTTTTTTGGCGGAGTTCAGGGGAAGCACACATTTGAAAGGTGATGGGCAATCAAGGGAAGATGCATTGAAGTTCAGAATGCAAGCTCTTCTCCTCCTAGTAAACCAGCCCACCCAGAAGAAGTAGTAGAAGAAAAAAAGATAAAGGGCAGAAAGGTATTAAAATATTACCCGCAATTTCTAGAAAGGCACATTAAAGCATTGGTGAGATCCTCTAAGGCAAAGATTCAGGAAACTCTCCCAAACTGGTATCCCTCCCTGTCGTCTGAGGGGGTCACACAGCTCACTCGCAGTGAACGGAATTGAGCTGATTCCTCTGACCTCAGCACCTACATCTTCGTTGCAACAGTGGCATTCACTCGGGGCCCCAATACCTACATCAGCACACATAGAAACAGACCCACCTGCAATGGTTTTGAAAAACCACGAGCTTCCACTCAACTTTTGCTCTATCCTTTTGGCTTTGTGCTCTGAGTAGAAACCTTGAAGCTGAACCTACAACAGACCCAGGCACCTGTGCGAGTGGGCAGCACAGTGTGGAGGGGGTGGGAAAGGGGCTGTACAGGGGGGTGAATGCAATCAGTAAAGCGGGACTGGGGCGAGGATGGGAGGGACAGCACCAGGGGCCGGGATCAGGCAGTAAATAGCGTGTATCTTTCCCATGTCGGGATAGACGGCCCCTCACAGATTTCTACCCACTGCTCTGCTGCCTGAATACAAAAACCAGTTACAACTCAGAACTAAGAACTGAATGTGTTCCCTGTTTCCCAAGACTCTTCTTAATTCTATAGATTCTCAGCTTTCGATAGGCATTTTCTGGCTAGTGGTGGAACTTCTTTGAGGCTTAGTAGACAAGTACTATTCTGAGATAGACTTATATTGAAAAATATAAGGATTCAAGAATTCCTATATGCTTTGGTCCCTAAATTAAATTCCCTTGTCTTCTTTTTTAAATAATTTTTTAAAAGATTTTATTTATTTATCTCTAGAGGGGAAGGGCAGGAGAGAGGGAGAGAAACATCAATGTATGGTTGCCTTTTGTGTGTTCCTGCTGGGAACTGGCCTGCAACCCAGGCATGTGTCCTGACTGGAAATCGAATCGCAATGCTTTGATTTGCAGGCCCGTGCTCAATCCACTAAGCTACACCAGCCAGGGCCCTTGTCTTCTCTTTACTGGCACGTGCTACTGTTCTTGTTTTGTTTTGCTGATTTTTACCTATGCTTGACCTTTAGCTACAGGGAGACAGACTTCCTGACTCAGTTCTAGCTTTCAACCTCATGAAGTAATTGTCCCTGACTCTTATACTCAGTGCAATTTGGTTATCTGTGCGTCCCCAAAAGCTTATGATTTTCATGAAATCGGTGCTGTCTGGAGTGCAGATGAAATATCAATTCCACCAGGAAGAATGCAAATAATGTTAAAGCAAAATACATTTTCCCCCAAGTAATTTGCTATTATTATTCATGCCATTTTACTGGAATTTAAGACCAAAACTACAATGTGGTTTACATTTACAGTGTAGAAAGTCTAAATCTGGAGTCTTGGTCCTGAAGACAGCAAATGTAAATGACAAATGGAATAAATCCGTCATTCATTTGAATAGACTGAGCAACTGACTGAAGTGGTATTGGATTTTTGGGGTGGGGGTGGTGGTGGAAATGCTACAGCAGAGTTATTTTAAGAACTTAAGTCCTGGCTGGCGTGACTCAGCGGACTGATCATCAGCCTGCAAACTGAAGGATCACCGGTTCAATTCCCAGCCAGAGCGCATGCCTGGGTTGCGGGCCAGGTCCCCAGTTGCAGGTGTGCGAGCCAATCTACAGCCTACGTTGATGCTTCCCTTCCCCTCTCTCTAAAAATAAATTTAAAAAATCCTTTGTTTAAAAAGAACTTTAGCATATGCTTGGACATGCATATATGAAAATTTAGAGTAAGGAGAATTTCAGTTCTGCAGCTTTGGGTCGCTACTCCAGGGTTGGGGCGGGGGAGGCACTCAGACCGTGCATTCAATACCCACCAGGTTAACTAGGTTCTCTCCCCCACGGCAAGGGGCAGACTGGAGCGGTGTTCCAGTGCCCAGTAGACTGTAACACTGTATCTACACAACAGGAATAAAGTTCATGGATACCTCAGTCAACAAGCCAGTAAATCTCACGTTGGATGAATGTGAAGTTCTGCTGCCTGTTCAGCCGATAGATAGACTTTTCAAGTTTATATATGTTTTTTCACATAATGCATTCATTTCCCTTTGCTTTAATCATGGGTATTTTAACAGAAGCTATTTTAAGTGTAAACTTTACTCCTAACTGGCATCAGGTTCATTCTGTCGGTTCAGATAAGCTCAGGCAGACACCAGTCCAATCTGAGTAACTACGTGTGAACGAGGCCACAGCTCTTCTGACCAAGAGCACAAGCCAGTTCCATTTGTGAAGGAAGGCTTTTGATGCATGAACATAGAAATACTTATTTCAGATGCTTTTATTTTTAAGGTGTGTCAAAAAAGTATTAAGTAGAAGAGGTTTACAACTTTCTGCTGCGCTATATGAGGGGTAGACGAGTGGAAGTGAGTAGTGGTGGCTTCGTAACTAGAAACCTTTGTGGTGATATGTGAAAGTACAAATTAACCCCAACAGACACATTATTTGCTGTATCCTTTGGTGTGAAATTATGCATTGTTACTTTTTCTTTTTTGAAGTATATTTTATTGATTGTGCTATTACAGCTTTCCCAGTTTTTCCTCCTCTACTCCCCCTCTGCCCTGCACCCCTCAACCCTCCAGCATTCCCCTTTAGCTCATGCCCATGGGTCATACTTGAAAGTTCTTTGAATTCTAGTTTCCTATACCATTTTTGACCTCTTCCTATTTTATGCCTATCAATTATGCTTATTCCCCACACCTTTTCCCCCTATTCCTCCTCTCCCCCTACCCACTAAAAACCCTCTATGTGATCTCCATTTCTCTGATTCTGTTTCTGTTCTAGTTGTTTGCTTAGTGAACTCCTTTAACTTGACTCTATCTAGGAAGCACTTTATCTGCCCTCCCATTCTAAATGAAAGCTTTGCTGGACAGAGTAATCTTGGATGTAGATCCTTGCCTTTCACAACTTCAAATACTTCTTTCCAGCCCCTTCTGGCCTGCAAGGTTTCTTTAGAGAAATCAGCTGACAGTCTGATGGGAACTCCTTTGTAGGTAACGCTCTCCTTTCCTCCTGCTGCTTTTAAGATTCTCTTTATCTTTAATCTTGGGTAACTTAATGATGATGTGTCTTGATGTGTTCCTCCTTGGGTCCAACTTCTTTGGGACTCTCTGGGTTTCCTGGATTTCCTGAAAGTCTATTTCCTTTGCCAGACTGGGAAGTTCTCCTTCATTATTTGTTCAAATAAGTTTTTCATTTCTTGCTCTTGTTCTCCTCTGGCACCCCTATAATTTGGATATTGGAATGTTCCAAGTTGTCCCAGAGGTTCCCAAGCCTCTCTTCATTTTTCTGAATTCTTGTTTCTTCATTCTGTTCTGGTTGGGTGATTATTTCTTCCTTTTGTTCCAAGTCATTGATTTGAGTCCTGGTTTCCTGACTATCACTGTTGATTCCCTGAACATTCTGCTTTCTTTCACTTTGGGTAGCTTTCATTTGCTCTTTCATTTTGCAACCAAGCTCAGTCAGTTCCATGAGCATTTTAATTACCAGAGCTTAAAATTCTCCATCAGATAGGCTGGCTATCTCCTCATCGCTTGGCTCTTTTTCTGAAGTTTTGCTCTGTTCTTTCATTTGGGCCCTATTGCTTTGTCTCAGTGCACCTGATAAGTCATAAGGGGGCGGGGCCTTAGGTATCACCAGGGCGGTGCAAGCCTCTGCTGTGCTGCTGTGCTTCCTGTGGGGGAGGGGCCAGAGAGGGAACAATGCAGCTTGCCTGCTCCACTCTGGTCCACTTTCCAACCAACCCTTGTGTGAGACTGGGAGTTTCTCCCACCGCAGCAACTGCTATAGTCCACTGTCAGCTCTAAGTCTCAGTTTCTTGTTCAGCCTGCCCCTCCCACAGCTTGCCTCGGTTTCTCTTAGACAGCTCCTCCTGCATGGTCTGCCACGTCTCTGTGGGTTCTCTTGGTCTGCCCCTCTTACTGGTCTAGTTGTTCTCTTTGCCTGGTTCTTTAATTCCTTGGTTGTTAGAGTTCCATGCAGTTCAATTTTCTGGCACTTCTGGTTGTTTATTGATTTTAGATTGGTTGTTATCCTCCTTTTGGTTGTGGGAGGAAGCAAAGGGTTTCTACCTGCACCTCCATCTTGGCCAGAACTTGCATTGTTATTTTCAAAAGCTATTCTGTTTTTATTGAAAGGGAACAGTTACTGACATCTATTATTATTTCTTATTATGAAGCCCAGTTAATTTGTCCCTCACGAAAACAAAGCCACAGAGGATCTGGTCTCTTCCCGTGTGTGCGTATGGATACATTGGAAGCTGGGTGCATAGTTCTGGTTCGTCTGCTTTGAAGCAGCTTTGAGAAGTCGCACCCAGTTTGCAGCAATTGGCTGCTTTTACATAGCACCTCAGAAAGCTGCATAAAAGGTCTGCCAGAAGGAGCTCTTTGAAGTTTCATTTTCTGGAACGGTACTGCTTTGCTCATTCGGTGAAGACTCTTTGGTGTGAACAGAGAGAGTTTCAAACAGCTCTGCGGCAACCGACTGGTCTCCAGACTTTGTTGCCCTTAATGTAACTGAACCTGTCGCACGGCCTTCACTCTTCACGACCCAGGAGGCCTCAGAACACAAACGGGAGGTAAGCTTTCCTGTGCTTTGGGTAGGAGACAAACTTGCTTTGGTAAAACCGGTGGCTGAGGAGAGCCGACAGGGCCTGGCAGAAGAAGATGTACGTCACCACCAGCCACCACGTTAAGTTGCGGAACCCGAAGACGACCGCCATGGACACGTAGATCATGAGCTCTGCCAAGTAGTTAGGGGAGGACACGTACTCGAACCAGTCTCCAAAAGGGATTTGGTAGTTGCAGTGAACGACCGCTCCTGAAATGAAGAAAGAAAACTTCCTGAGCACATGAAGCTGCAAAAAGAAAGTCTGAGCATCCCTCCCCGACTCGTTTATGCGGAGTCTAATTTGGAAGACGGAGTGACAGACCTGTGCACAAACCTGTCACACTTCCACTGTCTGCTACGCGTGAAAAACCACATGCTCAGGTTACACTACCAGCTGTGAATAAGCACTGAGGGAAAGCCCATCACGCCACCAATCCTCCAAGATAGAAATTAAAAGCTCAGACTCCAAAAAGCCCAGAAAGGCCTCCTCTTTTATTCCATCTCCCAGTCATCCTGTCAGCAGTTTGTACAGAGCCCAGGGGAAGAAAGGCCCCCTGGGCCGATGACGTGGGCTCCCCCCCCCACCTCCCCCCACCAGGGGCAGAAGGCAGGGGTGAGTGCGCCTGCGGGCTGGGAGGCCTCTTCCGAAGCCCCTGGGCCGGCAGCCGGCCTGCGGGTCTCTCCCGTGGCTGGGCGCGAGGGCAGAGTGCGCAGGGCGCCGCGGCAGGACGGGTGTTGAGAAAGGTTCGTCTGACAGAGTTTGGCTGCAAGGAGTGGTGTGGAAGTCACAGTCAGAGGAGGCACTGTACTTCCGGGAAATTCCCGAGGGAAGGTGCTGTGAGCAACACTTCTTTCTGTTCGAGTCTTTGGTTCGGGCCCCAGTGGACCGGGCGGAGGGGTTCGACCAGTCACTGTGAGAGCTGGGGGTGAGGGCTCTTGTTCCAGGGGGCGGAGGCACCGAAGCAGCTCTAGACAACAAGGATTACTCTTTTCCTAGTGTTTCCTTTAGTCCTCACCAGAGGGCATGCTTTTACTGATTTTAGAGAGAGAGGGATGGAGTCGAAGAGGGAAACACCAGTATGAGGGACAACATCTACTGGCTACCTCAGGTTCGCACCCTGCAGCCCAGGCATATTCCCTGAACGGGAGCTGAACCTGTGACCTTCTGGTGTACAGGACGGGGCACCAGCCAACTGAGGCACTGGCCAGGGCAAGACTGTTCCTTATTTAGAGGTGATGACATTCTCGGAAAGTAGGTAGACTGAAATAAGTCACTACAGAAACGGCATCACGTGAAGTTGCCCATTCCACTGGAATTCTGAAACCTTTCACCATGTTAATACTTTCCATATCTCTTCTATAGTAAACTAATGGTATCCAAACTAATGACATCCAGTGTCTCATAAAATTTAGTTTCACTTTACTGATGTAAACTTAAAAAAAAGAAAGAGCTCAGACTCCAGAGTGAGACTGCGCAAGCTCACATCTTGGCTCGACACTTACCAGCTACATAACTTGTTAACCTCTCTGTGCCTCAGTTTCCTCATCTGCAAAGTGAGGATAAGACTGTACCCACCTCAGTGAGTACGTGAAGCTCTATGTAAAGCATGCAGAATAGGACTTGGCACAAAATAAGCACTCAATAAATACTATTCCATTTTTAAAAAGATAATATTTATTTATTTATTTTAGAGAGATGGGGAAGGGAGGGAGAAAGAGAGGAAGTGAAACATCAGTGTGTGGTTGCCTCTGGCACACCCCGTACTGGGGACCTGGCCCACAACCCAGGTGTGTGCCCTGACTGGGAATCAAACTGGTGATGCTTCCGTTTGCAAGCCGAAGCTCAATCCACGGAGCTACATCAGCCAGGGCAGTACTATTCCACTTTTAACATTTCAGAAAGCCTAGTAAACCTGTACCTGTGATAAGCCAACACAAGCTAAATAAAAAGCCAAGTTTGTTCCTTTGTCTGTAATTACACTAACTCAGCATAGTCATACTGGTGCTCACATACTGGTCAGACACATGTGCAAAGCAGGCCCCAAAATGTGTGCACAGAATAAAATCACTAATACCAGGACTAGTGGGGCCAGAGAGATCTTTGAGTATAATGCTCTCATTTCCCAGATGGGAAGATCAAGACCCAGAGAGGTGTCTTACCAAAAATGAATATTTTGTTAAGAATGTACCAGTGGCACTGGTACATTAGTCAAGTAATCGGGGCAGGCAGGCAGGAAGAATGAAGGAACATGGACAACTGACTTCTGAGGATTGAGATCCACATCCGGGGGCTCTACAAGGTATCTCACCTGCTTTATTTTTCCTGAGATTGCCGAGAATGGCGTGGCTCCTATACTGATGGACAGATGACCAGATGAACATCATCACCCCGAAGATATGGAACCACCGAGTTTGCATCAAGAGGTTTTTCCCTATCACACAGACAACAGAAATAAGGATTATTTCATTAGCCAATGCCACCAAATTTTGGAGGCTCGGGGAATCAAAAAATCATGCAGTCAGTAGAACACAATTACTCATTCACTGTGTTCTTCAAGACTATAAAATTAGTCTCAAAGAATTTCCCAAGTACAAGAGGAAGAACACCAAAGGAGATTCACTCTGCAGCCAGGGAAGCTTCAATGACCCCGGGCAGAGAATTCCATGATGATATATTCTCTTGCTACTTCAAATGCTTTAAGCACAGAGTTCAGCTCCGTCTCTGACCCTTGTGTGGGGAGATGGCTTCGTGCTTTTATCTCTGAGCCTGTTCTTATGCCTTCTTTCTTATCTTCTACTGTCAGGAAAACACTTTCTGAAGCCCCTCCCTGAGCTAACTATCCTAAACCATTGTCAGGGAGACCCTGAAGGTGGAATACTGACTTGACGGACTCCAGCCAAGGAGGAAAACTACTACAAGCAGAGGCCGGAGATGGGGCTTCTCAAACAGAGGGGAAATGTCAACTCCAAAATGAAAAACAACCATATCACTTTCTGATTACACAGAATTGAACCAGATTGATTTAGTTAGCTATAGGAGAAGATCTCCTCAAGCTATTATCTTCCTTTTCCTCATCTAACTATCTGGGAGAAGAATGTAAGTCTTTTAAGAACTGGCATGGGAAAAGCAAACTGAGGACTTCCCTATGATCGGCAGGAAGCGGTCAGGCTAGTCAGGGACTTGGCTCATGAAGCACAGTTGTCCACTGACAACAGGGACCGCCTGAGGCGCTGGAGCCAAGCACTGGGCAGCTACAAAGTGGGTTCAGCTGAGAGAAGCAAGGCCCATGCTCTCCCCATGGGTACCTGGAAGCAGGATTCAGCTGATGACAGCTACTGGCTGACTGAGTCCACCAAAGTCTACCCGTGCTAATTGCCTTTAAAAACTTGCTCTATACAGTCTACTTACAGTCTCCTAATATTTAGTAGGGTTGGCCATTTAACTAGAAGGTTATCTTTTTCTAAGTTAAAAGTAAGCAGAATATGAAAAAACATGGTTTTAAACTGAAAGGGCTTTAAGAGCAAGTTACTGCAGGATTAAAAGCTGAAGCGAGGGTCTGTGTGTGCTCCCGTCACTGCCCAGTTCCCCGCTGCGAATTGGGAGAGATGGCCTGTGACTGCTTGTGAGGACAGAAGACCTGTAAGAGGAAGTTGGAATCACCAGGCAGGAAGGGGAAGCACATGGAAGGCCCGTGTTTTCTGAGAGTCTAACCTGTGTAGGATTTAATGACTCGTTTACTCGCTAGTTACTGAATGGGCACCGATTGAGCCTGGCACTGCTGCAGGCAGGAGGCATAAGCAGTGAACACTCAGGCAAGATCCCAGTTCTCATGAACTCACGTTCCACTGGCAGCTGCCCCTAGACGCGAGCACACAAATCAACAGCCCAGACAATGCCAGGCAGAGGCAGTTCTCTGAGGAAAAGAAAACGCCACAGGACAGGGCGACGAAGAGGGAGAGTGACTGAGGGAGATCTCCAGACGGGTGACAAGATGCGAAGATCCGGGTCAAGAGAGACATCCCCTCTTTTCACTCTCGCAAGAATCCTCTGAAATCAGTACATATCCCTGATTACAGGTGAAGGTCCCGAGCTCAAGGAGGTTGAATAAACCAGACTCAGGCTCAGGCCCATTGGACCCCAAGCCCTTTCCTGAGACGCTGAGGCTGACGAGTGCCCCTGTGTATTCTATCTCGATGAATTCCTGAAACCAGTTCTCCCCGTATTGTCCTGAATGACCACAGATGACCTCTGAAGGACAGATAGGTGAAAGAGAAGACAGCTTCAGGAAGGAGTGTCTAGAACGGTATTTTTGTGGGTACTGAGGCTGCCTTTCCTTTGTTAGTTACACAGGAGGGAGGGCAGCAGGAGAGATAGCAATGCCAGTGGGAACGAACGGACTGAGAGCCGGTGAGGTACCCAAGTGCTCAGGCCAGTTCCTCTGGGTGGAAAACCCACGCTGTTCACCAGGGTTGCCAGCCCAAACCATGACGCTGGGCCGCATGTGAATGCCACAGCAGAAAACTCGGGGAGGAAAAGCTGACCTGATTATGTTCAGAGGGTTCAAATGGAAAGATGCTAACTGAGTGGCTGGAGCCAATAATCATTCATGAATTGAGAAATATCATTGATAAGATGTACTTGAAAATCACTCCTGAAGCCTCAGAGGCCTTGGGTTGTACCACAGCAAGAAAGAGGGGCACGCTGACCCTGACGTCAAGCCCGAGGGGAAAGCTCACCCACTGAGGACTGAAAATGTCCAGATTTTGGTCTCAATTTACTGCAGTAAATATATGAAGCCTGGAACTGAGCGCAAACAGTCAGGAAAGATCATCCACCCAACAATGTCTGGGCTGACAGAGACCAAGGCTCCAAGGCTAAGGTAATCTCAGCACTAAGAACTCATTTCAATTACCCCAAATAACTTGATTCTTTATTGTAAACATTTATTGTTTTTTATGTTAGATATTCATATCCCTCCCCCCATCGCCCTCCAAAAAAAAACCCCACTTCATTTCCTCCTCACTAACAAAAGTCACGACCTTGGTTCCCTCTTCCTGGTTGGGAAGAGCTCCCCATTCTGACCGCCCACAGTGCTCGTCCGTCCCCCCCCTTGGGTACTCTCCCTTAAGGGACGCTTCGTGCACAGGTAACAACCACGAGACCTCAACAGAGGCAAATGGCTCCCTACTCCCTCTTCAAATCACCACCATCCGTGCTGTGTCCAGGCCACAAGCTCCTCCTCTGCTGTTCTGATTAAACCCTGCACCCCGCCTTCTCCTCCTTCTCGGGCCTCACCCCTGACCTTCCCGCACAAATATCCCAGGATGACCTAGGCTCTGGCGGAGCAGCTTCTTTGCTGACCCCTCCTCCTGTCCTTGGGTGTCTTTGCTTCCCATTCAACTCTTTTCTTTAAAAGTTTAAAAGATTATTTATTTTTTCTTTTAAAAACCTCTATTGAGCAATTACTGGAAATAACTGACAAATATAATCATATGTATTAAATATAGAGTGTGATGATTTGATATACATATACATTGTAGGATGATTATCAAGATCAACGTGATTAACAATCCATATCACAGTTAACTTTCTGGGTGTGGGGTGAAAACTGAGCCACTCAGGAACCGCCAAGCGTACAGCATCAGATGATTTAGTGGAGTCACCATGCTCCGCATCAGATCCTTAGAACTTATTCTTTTTATAGTAACTGAAAATTTGCATTCTTTGACCTATGCTAACCTATCTTCCCCTCCCTCCAGCACCTGGCAACTGCCATTCTATTTTTTCTATGAAGTTCACTTAATTTTTTTAATTACTGTTCAATTTATTAATTACTGTTCATTTTTATTACTGTTCAATTACAGTTGTCCCCATTTTCTCCCACTGCGCTCCCCCTGCCTGGTCCGCTCCGCCTGCCTCTCCCACATTCGGTCCTCCTCACCGCGCTGTCCTCGTCCGTAGGTCCTTTGTGTTTGGTCCTTGACTTGACCCTTCACCTTCAACCCTGGACCATACTCTTTCTCTCCAGACTCACTGCACATGAGTTCTCTGACTTCACTCCCATTGAGGAAAACCTCACATCCCACTTCTCCTTCCTCAATCCGGCCCCCTGGAGTGCCTGGCACCTTATCATCTTTGGTGAAGGCATGACCGATCGGGAAGGTCTGCTTTCAAACTTCCCCAACAGTGGATGCTTCACCTGAAGAGCACCTCCCGCGCCCTGTGACTCAGGTGACAGCCCTCAGGGCCCACTCACCATCCCTGCTGTCCACTGGCACCTGGCTCAGCACCGTTAAGCCGAGGAAGACGTAGTAGGCGAGTCCAAAGCAGTACTGCACGACGTGGATCACGCTGCTGGAGAAGACGCTGACAAAGAGGCACTCGAAGAGCCTGCGCCAGCTGTGCAGCCACAGGAGCACCAACACGAGGAACGCAGACAGCGCCAGCTCCCCCCCTGCGGTTCAGAAAGCGGCACCTTCAGCATTTCTCTTCTCAGGATCAATCCAATGTTATGTTTTTGTTAAGCAAAATCAGAGCTAGGAAAGGGCCCTAGAAATCATCCAGTCTGACACCTTCCTTTTTTAAAGTCTGGGGAAGTGGGCTGAGTGAAGTCAAAAATCTGGCTTGAGGTTGCAGGTAAGCCGGTGACAGTGCTGGGACACAGTGGGGCCCCTTCCGGCCTGCACGGACTGGACTGGGGGGTCTGTGTGCTCAGAAACCCGGGTCTGCGGGGCTCTGGTCCCCGGCACTCACACTAAGGAAGGTGGTCAGGAAGGGTTCAGGATGGCCTCTGAGAAGCCGCACCTGGTGGGATCCCCAGGGTCAGGTGAGACTATAGACACAGGCACCCACAGGGACAGAAAGTGGGACAGTAACTGAGACAGGGAGAATTACACTTTCCTTTCCATGTTAAGAAAAAAAGAAAGAAACTGTACTTTTAAAGGACTGTGATCCCTGAGATCTATCTTCCTACCTAACTCTCTACCCCAAAAGTCAGAAGACATGCTGGTTTTTAAAATGGCAAAAAACTTAGATTTTTAAAATGGGAATATCACACACGTACACGCCCCACAAGGATACCATAAGAATACAGTTAACTGAGCTGTTTATTGTTTCCACCTTCAATTCCTTATTTCAAGATTTTTTTTTTTATCTGAAGCAAAATGAACAACTGTTTTGTAATCATCTGGTCCACAACTATTTACAGTCCTTTTTATCACAAACCTAAAGCCTTATGGCGTAACATTTTTAGCTGGTGATCAAAAAGTAATTTTCTATCCAATTTCTGGAGTTCTGAGACATGACTTGGGTTGCACTATATAAATGATAAATGCTTCAAGGCAAACACGAGGCAATCCTCAAAGCTTTGCCCCTAAGTCTAAATTTATCAACATATGAGAAGTGCCAGAGGGCGAACAGTCAGGCCTGTGTGCAGCCCAGCACCGGCTGGGAAGTCGGGAATGAACAGCGAACTCGTAGCTCTGCCCAGACCTCCACAACAGACTTGGGGACGTCCCCTCGGGGCTGACTAGGACCTACCTGCGCAGCACTCCCTTCGCTCTCACCTGCAGGGAGGAGCCTGAGAGTGGCTGGGAATTACTGAGAACAGCCTCCTGCAGGCGAGAAAGGCAGGAACGGGACACTGCGTTGCCATTACCTTGGGCCTGCGTAGGCCCGAGAATGCTGAGTAGCGTGTGGAGCCAGTGTGGAAGAGGTGCTCCCAGGAACAGAAACTGTATCAGGCACCACAGCAGGAAGCCGTTCCACAGCACGGAGACGATATAGAAGTGAGAGAAGTACCTGCGCAGGGAAAGCAAGGTAGGCCCCCATCAGGGTGGGGCCACATATTACGCAGACAGACATCTTTTTGGCGTCCTTCTCCTTTTTTCCCCATCCCCAAGTCCAGTTATGCTTCTTAATAGACCCTGAATCCTACAGGCGTTCAGATTTCAAAATCTCCTTTAAAATGACGGAGCCGGTTAACTCATAAGAAAAAGAGGCCTCCTGATGTTAATGAGAACATGACTGACCCTGGTAAACTTAGCTGGAAGTCCAATGAGCAAGCTCTCTCATCTCTGGGTCACTGGGTTGGGCTCCAGTTCCAAAAGAGGAGGCTCTAGGCACCAGCAGAGCAAACCTTGACTGCTAACGTGGGCCGAGTCTGTCCGAGACTCCCAGATCCTGAGCAGCACTCTGCCGCAAGAGCCGTGCACTGTTACACAAGGTGTGCACAATTCCCAGCTCTCAGGGCTGTACGTAACCTACAGGTCTTCCAATTCAGTGTTTTTCCAGCGTTGACCTAAATTACTTAGATGACAAATATTAACTCATAAAACGAGGTTATCCACTCTTGCAGATGGACAGCTCTCAAACAAGGACAATGCTTCTTTTGCAATCAACACAGTTTCAAATGAAATACAAATAAAACCACAAAACCACTGACAATTGCGAGTAGCAATGATAATTCCATGTGAAAGATGATGTTGATTTGCTGAAACAAAATCACCTAACAGGGTACACAGGTTCATCTATGGGCCACTCACTGTTTTTCTCTAGTCAAACCAATTCAGAATCATTCTGACTTTGCAAAATGCCTGGAGGTCATTTGGCTTTTCCTGGTCCTCAGTACATCTTACACATACTGAGCCAACCCCTGGTCTCACTAGACCATGACAAAGCAAGATGACCTGGAGTCAGGAGGATTAAATATCAACTATGGGTCTCCTCTTCCAGATGATCCAGATTACTCTTGTACCAGAACTCAGAGCACCCCCCCCGACCACGCCCACAACCCAGTCTAACACTGATCTAATCTGGACATTCCATAGTAACCCACTTCATTCTCCCAACTACTGTTATAAACTCATCGTAGGACCTACGCTCTCTGAGCCATACTGTTATTCCTAATTCTGATCTTCTCCAGGCTCAAGAGCATAGTTTCTTCAAAAGTTCACGCAACAACTAACAAAGAGACTTAGAGAGACAGAGAACAGACTGACAGCTATTGGAGGAGAGGGGAACTTGGGGGCTGGATAACAAAGGTGAGATAAAAAAAAAAAAACCACAATATAAATTACATAATGCTCCCTTCCCCACCCTGAAGCCATAAATGCCTTTCCAGACACTCAGAATAAAAGCCAATCTCCACCAAGGCGGTGAGCAGGGACCTCCTCTCCAGCCCCAGCCCTCCCTGCCCATCCTTTCCAGCTCATCACTGCCACGGCCACCAGTCTTGCTCCTGATCAAGTAACCCTGCTGGATTTCCTCTAAAGCACTTACCGGTATCTGAAATTCTTTTGCTTGTTTTACAAGGGTTGTTTACATATTTACTGTCCAAGAACAAAACCTCCAAGGAGCCTAGACAGGCTCCCGGTACAGAGCAGTACCTATGAACATGGGGTAAAGGAGAGTGAAAGAACACATATCCCTACAGTGACTGTCGGAGCAAGCAGTGAAGTCAGCTAATACGCCAATTAAAGCTAAAACCTTTCTAAAAATTTCTTTGAAAAAATATTGATTAAGGACCTTATTATTTGTCAGGCATTGACTCAGGAATATGGTTAGCACAAGACAAATTGAATGTATGGAAAGTGTACAGTCCAGAGCAGGGGTCACCAGTTTTCTTCCATGGCCTCACTCCTTTGGCCGTGTGGTGACGGCTATGGACTCCTTCACAAAGGGAAATAGTCGTACTGAAATATGGGTAACACCACTACAAAAACCGAACTTGTGATACGGTTATACATGTGTTTATTAATTAATGCATCAAATAACAAGACCCAGTGGGGAATAACTACAGTAGTCTCGCAGTGATAGAAATGTTTTGAGGTCTTCAGTATTTTTAATGTACTGGGTTGGCCAAAAAGTCTGTATGGTTTTTTTCATAAAATAAAAGACACATTTTTTCATTTCCACCAATAACTTTATGGATTTAGATATTTTGAGTATGTTGGCTATCTCCTGCATGATATAACATTGATTGTTCTCAATTAATGTCTCAATTTTATCATTATCAACTTCAACTGGTCTACCTGACCATGAAGCACCCTCCAGTGAGAAATCTTCAGCATGAAACTTTGAAAACTGCCTTTCACACATTTGCTCAGTCACAGCACCTTCTCCAGACACTGCACACATTTTCAGTTGTGTTTTTACCTTTCTTGAAATAATAAAGCATTATATGCTGAAAATGTTGTGTATTTTCTTGATGTTAAAATAGCCACACCAAAATTCACCAATTTTGATAAGTGTTTTTTTTAAATGCACACTAATAAGATAACTGTCGCAATACAATCTAACAAAATTGTTTAGAATGAAGTTAGATACCTAAGCGTTACTAGAGCTATCTTATAGAAAAAACAAACTCTTTGGCCAACGCAATTAATATTTTTAAAATGTCAGAAAATTGCAGGTACTGCTAATTATACTGTGGCTTGCTGACTACACTCACCATTAAGGAAATGCTGAATTTCAGTTGGAGGTTTGTGAATTCAGATGTACTTTTTTCCCAATTCGAGTTTGCCCTAGAGGCCACTGACTCACCGGACCACTAGTTAGAAACTCCAGCCCCAGAGGGGGAAGTCTGGACCGCTCTCTTTGCCTCTAGAGCGCAATTCAATCGCAATGTTTCCATGCCATTTTGAAATTTCAGAAACAGGAATACGTCCATCTACACGATGCCAGGCAGGAGCACTGTGACTCGTGTTTAAGGTTACGTATTTATTCGGACTTTCTGGGATCAAAATCCGAGGAACCAAAAAGAAACAAAACAAAAAAGAGCATCCATCACCTTAATTTAAAAAAAATTCTAGCCCTGGCTGGTGTAGCTCAGTGGATTGAGCTTGGGCCTGCGAACCAGACAATCGTAGTTTGGTTCCCAGTCAGGGCACATACCGGGTTGCAGGCCAGTTCCCTGCAAGCCAGTTCCCAGCAGGGGATGCATGAAAGGCAACCATACATTGATGTTTCTCTCCCTCTCTCCTTCCCTTCCCCTCTAAAGATAAATAAATAAAATCTTTAAAAAAATTCTAGCAGATGGGGTAATGGTCAAACATACATGCCATGAACTGATTTAAGGTTTTATTCTTGCCTCCTTAGTGGGAAGAAAAAACACCCAAACAAAATTAGCTAAGCACTGTTTTTAGGTGCAGAAACCTGATTACAGCTGCCTATTTCTAAGTGTAAAATTATAGGTTTATTTTCACTTTTAAGAGTAGTATTGAATTCTGCACAAGAAAAATATTTAAATATAATATCTAGGCATTTTCGCCTTTCATGATTGGCCTGGATTTGCTGTACCTTCTAAAAGAAATGTTTAAAATTAGAGAAAAAGCAAAACAAAATTCCACTTTAGTATTCTGGGAGAAAAGGAGTAAATTATGTATAATCTAGTAGAAATTACAAGAAGGCCAAATAGTACTAACTGCTGCAGTAATAAATGAGGGGGAGGTACACTCCCCGTCTCAGCTGTCACACAAGGGCAGACGGGAGGAGTAGCAGCTGGGGTGTGGGGGCCAGAAAAACAGGTAACTGCAGGGAATGACTTGAAATGTGTCCTTTAACCCAGGGACACTAGTACCTCTTTCAAAATTCAGAAAAGAAATCACACTCGCTAAGAAACCATTTTTTCCTTCACTTATAACATTAAAAAATGACAATCGAGGATTGCTCTGCTAGGAAGTAGAAAAGGACAGGATAACAGGTAATTTTCACTTAAAAAGAGCTTTTAAGAACTAGGAGGCTTAACCAACTGGTTTTGAACACTTTTTCCTAGGGCCTCATTCCCTTTACAGTGCCTCAGAAAGATCAAATTCTCCCTTCCCAAGGTAACATCTCACGACTCCTTCTCCCACACTCAAAAGTAGGGGCTTTATCCCCGTCTCAGAAGCCAAGCTGCACTTAGGCCCCTCCTCTGCAGACCTCAGGCACGGCCTCTGGGTACTGTAATACATCAGAGACCGTATCATATTCCTCCAGATTCCTTCCTAAATGCCAATTTGTGTCTTAAAGATTAAAAAAATAAAAGCCACTGCTATATTCCTCCTACCATCTAGCAATGTTAGCTGACTCTTACCACTATGTTCTGGTAATATAATCCCCCAAACCGAACTGTAACAACTCTTACAATTTCTGAATGAATTCTGCTTAAGCCCTAATGGTATACTCTTTCGTTGGTTTTGGTAATGAGATCTGTTAAAAGTCAAATGAAGCTTCGGGGCTTGCCTAACAAGTGCCATCATCAGCAATATTCTCCAGGGTCATCTGCTGAGGTCATTAGGAGGGTCAGTGTAGCCGAGGAGGTGGGGGAAAGTGTGGGGACCAGCATCTCGCCCTTTCTCCGGACTGGGTGGGTCAAGGATACGGGAGATAAATAAGGGAAACAGAGACGCAAAGGGCGGGCCTGACTTTATTTCTGTGAGTTCTGGCTACCTCAATTTAGATTATGAGCCCCTAGAGTGCAGGGAGGGGAAAAGGGAGAATTTGGAGACAAAGTAGACTTGAATTGCCGCCTGGAGACCAGGCCTGAATTCAGAAACTCTGCCATTTCCGCCGAGGGAAGGACTCCCTAGGGCCACAAGTTCACGTTCCTCTGCGCTCCACAGTGCCCGCGGCTCAGCTCTCCTACTACCATGAACAGAACCCCAGGCCACCAAGTTGCTGCGTTGGAGAACCTGCTTGGGCCTGACAAGCCCTTTGCCCGCCGGCCCCGCGCCCGCCTCTGCTGCCCCCTGCCCGCTGCATAAGCCGGGCGCCCCGAGGGACTCACGCCCCGGGGGAGCGGTTACCTCTTGGGGACGTCAAAGCGCCGGCACACAGCTGGGCGTGGTGGCCCTCCATACTTGGTTTTCCCATAGCGGATCAAGTCCTGGAGGAGAGCAAAGCTGGGGAGCGAGCTAGGCGGCACAAGCTGCAGCAGCACGTTCAGCAGGAAAGAGGCACCCAGTGTGAACCAAACAGCGCGGATCGGGCTCAGCGCGGACAGCACAGCCCACAGCGCCATGGCCGAGCACCGGCCACCGCGCTCCCAGGGCCTACACCGCCAGCCAGCGCAGGACCAGCCGCCGGCGCAGGACTAGCCTCCCGCACGCCGCGCACGGGTCCTTGGCAGGCGGGACGTCGGTGACGCGGGTGACGCGGCGTGGGGTGGAGACGCACTCCGCCCCTCCCCGGACTCGCTTAAGCCCACGTGGACGCTCCTGGTGCCTCGGGGGATCCCAGGACCCGGATATGCAGGCTCTCCGCGGTTGCTTTCCGTCCCTAGTCACACTGTGGGATTCCCGATGGAACCCAGAATATGATTCGAAGAAGCGAAACTAACGAGATCAAGTGCCTTCCAGTCTTCATTGCCGCTCCCCCCCCCCCCCCCCCCGCCCCATGGAAACAATCTTCAGTGTTCTATCCTAGGGCATTTATCTACATTATGGTACAATATCACGTTGGAATAACATGTAGCCATTAACATGATAATTAGGAAGACTGTAGAAACACGGAAAGCTGTTTATGACAACTAAAATAGTAGGTTTAGTGAAAAAATGCTGACTATGAAATACATAGCTATGGTTGCAAATAAATCTATTAATACGAATGTGTGTATGTAGGGATGAAAAAGGCAAATCATATGCAAAATGAACAGGATGTTGGGAATGTGTATAACCTAAATATGTAAGGTAGAAAATCATCAAGTCAATTTCAAATGACACAAAAATTAAAGTGGTGAAAATTGTATTTCAAAAACATCTGTCCTCTCCCTACTAGAGTTCCATCCCTTAGAAGAAAAGTTTTTCATTCCTCTCTGTTTCTTCTGGCATTAGTGCCGCGTAGAGATAATGTTATTTCCTGACTCAACTATTTCAAATAATATAATTTTAAGTTGCAATAAATTTAACTCAGGCAATTTTTTAAAAAGCCTTTAAAATGTCAACTCCAAAAACTATTACTGTATGCCTACTATATGTTAGTCATGGAGGTTTTCAGGACAGTGTTACTCCCTTTTTGGAGCTTCCCTTCTTGAGAGTAGGCAGCAGGTGAGGGGTGGAAAGGTGAGAGGTAGTGGACTGTCACTTTTCCCCTAATGCAGGGCTGTCAAATTCATTTTCACCTGGGGCTGCATCAGCCTCCCAGTTGCCTTCAAGGGGCCAGATTTAATTTCAATGCCTTTACAGTTAAGGAGTAGTTAGATTTATATAGTCCTCAAATTATTTTGGCTTTTTAAGGGCAACCGTGAGGATGATATGGCCCCTGGTGAAGTGTGACACCCCTGCCCTGATGACACAACCCTCCAGCTGTGTTGAGTAACCCCAAGGAACTGAGTGGTTTGGATTGTTAAGTGTGCCAGCTTTTTAGGGTGTCACTTTTTGTGTGCAAGGTCACCTAAGGCTTTACCAATACCTGAGAAGACATGGTGAAACTCTGGGCTCATCTAGGAAAATAGGCCTTTCTGTGTGAGCAAGGATCTGTTTTGCAGGGGTCACCCCTTTGTTGTTTTCTTCGTCGTTCTTAGGTTAACCCCACAGAAGTGCAGCCGTCCTTTCCAGCACATCCTTTTCGACAAGAAACTTGTAAGTATATTGCAGGAACCATGTTTTCTGGGTGAGAGATTCTCTTAAAGTTATTTGACTTGGGGCAAGATTACAGAAGAAGACAGGCAGGGGTGTGTGTGTGTGTGTGTGTGTGTGTGTGTGTCTGTGTGCTGGAGACAAGAAAGATTGGGGTTAGAGGGAAAATTATCCCAACTTTTTGGTGGCATTTGGGGCGCAGCTCTCTGACAAGCCCCTGCAGAGGGCAGTCACAAGTCAAACCCCACTGAAAGCACTGGTATATGTTTAAATCTTTCCTTGAGTGAGTTATTTCAAAAGTGGAAAACCAGGCTGAAGTCTGTTAGAGAGAGCATTCGTCACTGATAAGTGTCAGTTTTTGCTTTTCTTCATTGAATTACCTTCACTGCATGCTCAACAACCTCTGGCCTTGTGTGCAATAAAGGACAATGTCATTCTTCCAGTAGGTCAGGCTAACAACCTTAAACTCAACCTTCATTCCTGTCACAGTCCAAACGCAGTTTGTCAGCAAATCACATTGACAGCACTTTCAAAATAGGAATCTAAAACTCAGTCACTCTGGAGCCAGTGCCTTACTGAAAGCCCTAGCCAGTTCAATAAACAGGAAAAAAGAAGTAAAAGACCTAAGGACGGCAAAGAAACAAACTGTCATTATTTGAAGATAATATGAAACTCCAATAGCATCTATAGAAAAGCTATTAGAACTAATAAGAGAACTTGGTGAGGTTGCTGGATACAAAAATCAATTTATAAATATTGATTATTTCTATTTCCCAGGAACAAACAGAAAGTAATTTTTTAATCTTATATCTTCTCAGAAAATCATAGCACTATCAAGTGTCTATTACATCCTATGGAGAACTTCAATCTTAGGTCATAGCGTTAAGAGTTCCTGACATTGGTCCCCTAAGCTCTCTCTGAAATGACCTACAGAAAGTAAATATTTAAAAGGTACATTGTCAATGGTATAAAATAGTATGTGTCCAGGAAGAAATCTAATATAAAATATGTAAGTGTTCTTCAAGGAATATAAACCATTACTGACATTAAGGAAGATGTTTTAAGGGAGACAGATCCTAAGCTCAGAGATTGGAAGACTCAGTGTGGTTAAGATGATCATCATGGATTAAATGAGATTCAAAACGAACCCCAAGCTTTTGTGGGACTTAAGAATTACATGGAAATAGGAAGAGCTAAAGATGGCCAAAGCAGTCTTGAAGATGAAGAACACAGGTGGAGGACTTGTTCTTTGAGATAGGAAGACTAATACAGTGTTAGACCTGTGGCGTTCATTTTGTGAGGTATATAAATGTCTAATCACTATGCTGTACACCCAAAACTAAATTTTATGTCAACTATAGTTAGAAATAAATTTTAATAAAAGAAAAAATGGACTAACACAGAGCAATAGTTATTATGTTAGTGTGGGGTGGAAACAGCTGTAGAGAGAAACAAATAGACAGCGGAAGATGACAGAGAGTTCAGAAACAGAGTCCCATGTATACAAACACTTGATATATGAGTGAGGGTGCATGATGCATCAGTAGGGGAAGAACGAACTTTACCATAAATGGGACTAGGTCAGATGAGTGAATCAGAGATAGAAGAGTGGGGGGAGGAAAGGGAGATAAAGAGAAAGAAACGGAATCCCTTCCTCACTCCATTTATAAAAACGAATTCCACTCTGACCACTCCTCTTTCTCGGAGTCCTGCATCTCTTCTTAGCTTGGCTGCTGCCCCCAGCCTACCCACAATAATGAGGTACTGAACATGGTGAAAGAACTCTATGAAGGTAAAATGAAGGAAGTCTATGAACTGGCCCTGACTGGTGTAGCTCAGTTGGTTGGGCAATGTCCTGCAAAGTGAAGGGTCACTGCTTGGATTCCTGTTCAGGACACGTGCCTGGGTTGCGGATTCCCTGGTCTAGGCACATGCAAGCCAGTCAATGTTTCTCCTACTTATGTTTCTCTCTTTCTCTTTCTCCCTCCCTTCCCTTCTCTCTATAAATAAATAAATACACTTTTTTAAAAGTCCGTGAATTGATAGATAGTCCTGGAAAAGTCCTCCCGCAGCCCAAGGACCAGATTACAGCAGGAAATACAGCCAGAAAGAATCACGTGGAAGGAAAAGCTGCAATCTCAAATAAAGTTAGCAGCTGTATTTTCCAGTCGTTACAGGAAGCAAGTGTCAAAACTACTTTCACCAGAAAAAGTGGGGAGACAGCTTTCATTGCACCTAAGGGTGAAATGATTCCAATTGGACAGGTTTGTAGAGAAATAGTAATTGGTTCTTCCCTCAAAAGACATCCTGGTGTCAAGGAAGGGTCCAAGTTCTACCCTCTTAAAGTGGAGATGTTTCTTAAGGATGATGCCTGTAACGATCCACAGTGGTCTGAGGAACAGCTCATTGCTGCAAAATATTGCTTTGCTGGACTTGTTACAAGCCAGACTGAGGGGGACGTCATGAGTCCTGCTACACAGGCTGTGTTCGAGGTCCTGGAGAAGTCCTGGCTGCACTGCTCGGTTGATAAAAAGACTAGATTTGGTGTTGATGTCACCGCCAAAGAAGTTTTTCTTGCTGTTGTTATTGATAATGATTCCTGGAGACTCTGGCCATCAGGAGATAGAAGTCAACAGAAAGACAAATATTGATATTGTGACCTCAAGACAGTAACTCCTTAAAGGCTCCAGATGGGAGAGGAAAATCGTGTGAAGCTGTAGGTGTTGCTTCTGAAACCAGAAAGTCGGTGCAGGGCTGCTGCGTCAATGGGCTCGACTTCTGATCTCAGTCATTGCGGAAAAATCAAGACCATTCGGGGAAATTTTGGCATTCCATGTGAACTTTGAGTAACCTCTGCTCGTAAAGGACCAGATGAAACTCTGAGGATTAAAGCAGAGTATGAAGGAAATGGCATTCCTACGATATGTGTGGCTATGGCTGGCAGAAGCAATGGTTTGGGACCAGTGATGTCTGGTAACACTGCATATCCAGTTATCAGCTGTCCTCCTCTCACTCCAGACTGGGGGGCTCAAGATGTGTGGTCTTCTCTTCGACTGCCCAGTGGTCTTGGCTGTTCAGTCATACACTCTCCAGACAGATCAGCTCAGTTTGCAGCTCAGAAATTTGACTAAGCAACCATTTGGTGTGGGCCAAACTGGGAGCAAGTATATTGAACACATGGATTTCCTTGAAGCAGGCTGACAAGAAAATCCGGGAGGGCGTTTTATAAGAGAGAACATCATTACAGTTTTTAGGAGAAAAACTATAACTTTCTAGTTCAGCTGCAGAAAAAAATCTAGCAAAATGAAAAGATTTTAAATCAATCAGGGAAAACAAATAAACTTTATTATCAAATAAAAAATTAAAATTAAAATGAAAAATTCCATGTGAATTAAAGCCCTAATGTGAAAAGCAAAACTATAAATCTTCTTTTCTTAAAAATTTTTAAAATTTAATTATTTTTCATAAAGTATAAATCCTCTAAAAGGTAACATAAGCCCTGGCTGGTGTAGCTCAGTGGAGCGCGGGCTGCAAACCAAAGGGTTTCGGGTTCAATTCCCAGTCAAGGCACATGCCTCGGTTAGGGTCCAGGTCCCCAGTGGGGGCCACATGAGAGGCAACCACACATTGATGTTTCTCTCCCTATCTTTCTCCCTTCCTTTCCCCTCTCTCCAAAAATGAATAAATAAATAACAAAAAAATTTTTAAGGTAATATAAGAGATTATTTTCTCCTGTATCTTCTAGAAAGTGACATAGGACACCTCCTGACCTAATGGTAGGGAAGATTTTTCTTTGTCAAGATATAAAAAACAATTAGAGAAAGATAGTAATACATTATGCAACATTAAAATTAAAAACTTGTTTTCATCAAGAGACACTATAGAATGAAATTCATTCTATAGTGACTGGGAAAGATATTTGCTACACGTATAACCAATAAAGGATTAGTATGTGCCAATTAATAAATAAAACCAAAAAAGACAACTCAGTAGAAAAATGGTCAAAAGACTTAAACTGGCAAGTCCCCAAAGAAATATTCAAGATTGTCAGCAAACATACAAAAAATTGACCAATCACATTAATAATCAGGGAATTGCAAATTAAAACCATAATGGAATACAATCACAAATAAGTGCTGGGGAGGATGCGGAGATAGGGGAAGCCTTTTGATATTGGTGGGAACCCAGACTGGTGCAGCTGCTGTGAAAACCAGTATGAATACACCTCAAAAATTCCAAAATGGATCTGCCTTTCAATCCAGCTATTCCATTTCTGGGAATATATTTGAAGGAACCCCAAACGCTAATCTGAAAAAACATAAACACTCCTATATTCATTGAAGCATTATTTACAATTGCCAAGACATGGAAGCAGCCCAGTGTCCATCAGTAGATGAGCGGGTGGGACATTTACACAATGGAATTCTACTCTGATGTAAAAGAGAAAATTTTACTCTTTGTGATAGTATGGATGGACCTGGAGAACTTTGCTAAGTGAAACAAGCCAGTGAGAAAAAGACAAATACCATATGGTTTCACTCATATGTGGAATCTAAGAATCATATTTCAAAATATTAAAGTAAAGTAACTCAGATTTTATACAAAAAACTATCATTTATAAATAAGATATTTTTTAAGTCAAAGAAGTAAAAGTAATTATTCATAGGGTCTTATTGTGAAAGATACTCAAGCATGTTTTTTAGGAAGAAGATAATTGAACCTGGAAGGAAAGCGAGAGATGCAGTCACAGCAGCAAACAATGTAACTGGTGAATGTGTTGCTTAAATTACTAAGGAAGTAGTGACTTTACAAAGCAATAATGATGAGCTTACAAGGCATAAAAATAAAGTTGGAATAAAATAGTAAGTAACAGTTAAGATGAAATGAAGTGGTAATTGCTTTTAAGATCTTTGTGTTTGGGGGAAGGATAAGAACTATGTTTTACTTTAAGTCTCAAGTTAATGTTACAAATATAAGGCCAACCAGTATGATTGAAACAGGATTCAAGCCAGTTTGTGTGTGCAGAGGGAAGGAATAAAGAAAAATATACAAATGGACAACAAGCACATCAAAAGATCTTCAACATTATTATCCATTGGAGAAATGAAAATCTAAACCTCAATGAGATATAACTTCAAAATCAGTAGGACGACCATAATCAAATAATAACAAGCATTGTGGAGAAGTCAGAACCCTTATACACCTCTGGTTGGAATGTAAAATGGAGCATGTACTTTGAAAAACAGTCTGGAATTTCCTCAGAAAGTTAAACATACAAGTACCATTTGACAATTTCACTGGTAGGTATAGAACCACAAGAACTGAAAACATATATCCACACAAAAGCTTGGCCATGAATGTTCGTAGCAGCATTATTTATAATAGTCAAGGGTGGATGCAGTCCAAATGTCTATAAACAAAACATGCATATCCTTTCAATGGAAAATAGTGCACCATAAGAAAGAATAAAAGACAGATGCGTGCTACAATATGGGTGAACCTCGAAAACAGTGTAAGTGAAAGAAATCATTCACAAAAAACCATGTAATAACACACTGAGGTTTGAGGGCAGATAATTTACACTGTTCTTCCTCTCCTATCCCCCAGATGCAATCTTACTTAGAACTTCAGACCTATCTTCTGGGAAAAGCAAGAGCCCAGAACCTGCTGGGCCTCCTAGTGTTCATTTCCTCTCCCAAATTCATCGAGCAGGTGAGTCATCCTTTCTCCCATGGGGAGGACTGAGTGATGGGGACTGGAAACGAAGCCAGATGCACTCTTTCCACACTTTTTCTTTCTTTATCTTGGTAACCCCTCTGAACAGTGCTTGGTACTAAGCATTGCCTTTATTCACTCATTTACCATATATTTATTGAGCACACACCATGGGCAAAGTGTAGAGTGAGGAAGACAGACTGGGCTACAACCT